GTAAAGTTATGCAGATTGTTTATTGACCGGCTTCACAGAAGAAATGGGAGGAAGGGGAAAAAATTTAAAATCACGCCCGTCTTGCCAACTCCATTCCTGGTGTAATTAGTCTGAATAATGTTTAAATGTACTTCTTCTTTATGACAGTTATAGTTCCAGTAACAAACAAGCAATTTATAATTAAAAAATATGCTGCCTTGCTTAAGCTCTTTTCTTGAGTAATGCTTCAGTTTGTACAAATTGGATCAAATGAAGGTAGACACAATTAGTCTGTAATACCTCAATCACACACAATTACAGCTGATTCAATGTAAATATGGCCCTCCCCTCCTACACTTGACTTAGCTGTGACATTTGCCAGGTGGTGCCTTTACCATGCTCAGGCTATTATTAGTCTAATGCCCGAAAAGCATCCTGTTTATCTGCCTGAAGGCAATTAGGACACAAGAATGCTGCCCCATGAAGAAGAACAAAATATTTTTTTGACTGTGGTGATTTGCTTTTTTTATTTTTATATATTCAAATCCCTTTGGTCTGAAACATGGCCTTTTATTGGACAGACCCTCTGTGCTCATGTTCAGGTATAACATCAAAAACAAGCACCCAGTACAATAGTATTATCCTCTATGTGTGGTATGTTTCTTTAAAATCAATTTAAAAATTCAGCAAATAATCACAATGCAGAAGCTGGAAACTAGAGAAAAGCCAGCTGAATAATCACGCAATTAATGTTTCATACCATACTGGTCAAAAGTTAAGATTCAACACTGTACCGTAAATGCTAAAAATGCTGCAGTCAGCTGCTAATTATTTCTACTTCATCTTCTGTATATCATCCATTTAGGGTGTTAACTGATCTTTGGCTTTCTTTCTACGCTTTCTTACTTCTGTCTGATTGTAAGAGCTTTTTCTCTTCTAATAAAGGGGTAATTAATTACCATTGTTAATATTAAATCACCCACCATTTATAAAGCTGGTGGAAATCCAAGGGCAGAGGGACATGAAGTATACTCGGAAATATAAAAATATTCTGCCTGCCCTGGTGGTCTCACACTGGCCTGAGTAAGCATCTGCTGGACACATGGATGTGTTTGGATACATTGTACGTTCAGATCTTTAATGGGGCAAATGTAAAATAGACTGAAATGAATAACCTCATCCTCAGTGCTTTGTTTTCTTTTATGCAAGAACATAACTTCTAATTAATGCAGGGGTATTAAAAAAGTATAGAGTGCATAATGTTGCATGGTTGATGAGGATATTACTTTTTTTGTGTTCATAATCATGTTCACAAAAACCGTTAAATTGAACTTCAATTACATTTCGAGTGCATGAGCATGAGGCTCCGGGAGTGAGACAGATAATGCTTCCTGTGACATATCCTACTGTCAAACAGCACTGAGATGTAAATTAATCTTACAGTGTTTAATCAAGGGAGCGAGATTCTATTGTTTTACAGTCAGACTACCTGCTTCACAGAGCAGGGATGTGGAGGAGGGAAGAGGGTTTAGGTAAAAGGTAGGACAGGCAGAAACACATAACTTGATGATTCATACAGTGCCTAGTGTAAACAGAGGAACACTTCTCTTCAGAAAAAATTCAAGACTAGGTTTCCTTATTGTCTCTTTTTCATGTCAACGTCATATTCTGTGATGTAATTTGCAGTCATTGTGAAATCACGTCTACCATTAGGCATGGCGGATGATATTACAGATCAAATCCAATTTGCAATAAAGATTTGCACTGTGCAGGCTCGCTGTGCGGTACACTGATGAATAAAATCTGATAAAATCCACTAAACACTCTCAGGTTAGTCACCTAGATCAGATACTGAGCTGATACTGATACTGGCGCCCGATCTGGTCTCCAGCGCCTGGCACTGCCTGGGTGCTGTCGCCAGCCCAGCATTACACAGTGTTATGGCATGTCCTGACCTTCTGTTCATCTAGCCAGCCCAGCATGAGTGTACTGCTAGGAAAGTGTCCAAGCTAGGCAGCACCATGCGGTTACTCTCTATGAAACTATAGTGCCAAAGACACATTGCCTGGGTACCAAATTCATTATGATGTTCACGCTTTATCCCAGAGAGCTGCAACAACAGATAAATACAGAGATAAAGAAGAAGACAGTGATACATTGTTTTTGCCTTAGGTGAGACACCTGTTACTGTCTTGACATGACAGAGAAAATAGAGATCAGAGAAGATGCTCAGGAGAATGGGCTCTGTGTGCGCGCAAAGCTGAGCTCCTGTTGCTGACTCAGTAGTTCACTCCTCAAACCTCTTTTTTAAAGCATCTCTTATTTCACATATACACAAAAAAACAGCCATGCAGATGTGTGTGAGCATGCTTGTTATATCACACATATACGCACACAAAGTCATTCACTTCCTCCAGCAAGTACACCTACACGCATAACACCTTGGATAATCATAAGTTTGGGCAAAGGTCCTTTTCACATCTCCTCTTGTGTAAATCAATAGCTTTAAAAACAGAACACTCCTCATTTTCCTTGCTTTCCATTTCATTGATACAAGTGCTTCTATGGATGTCAGCTACTGCAGATAACAGAAAAACAAAATCCTGCTTGACACACACCTTGACAGTGGGTAAATCAATGCTGGTAGCCATGGCACAGTGAACAGACATTAAATAGCGTCAGTATACCTCAATCCGTTTGACAAAACATACTGAACAGTATCAGCCACAATGCGAGCAAAGTACACACAGAGAAAATTTAATTAGTGTCTATTTTCAAGCATTGCCAATGCATGAATGGAGGGGCATGTGTGTCTATACCTACAGGGGATATGCTGCAAAAGAAACACTGCAGGAGTAAAAGAGTGCATGCAGGTGGAGGGGATTAGCCTGACAGCCTGATTGGCATGCAGGTGGAGTACTGCCTTCTCTGAATGCAGCAATATTTTGCAGCTACCCTACAAGCAGGTGCCACTCAATCATGTGAACCCTATGCAAAACCTTTCTTCAAAACAGATGGTGCACGACTGAATAACGATTCCACTGCTGTTATCCTTCCAAAATCCACTCAAACCTGAAACATTATTTCATTTAAGAAAGAATACAGCTTACATCAGGCTTTATAAAACAGTAAACTGTACAAGTTTAAGTTGATAACGACACAAAATAGGAGGTAATTGATTCCACATGATCAGCAATTCATACTAACATGACAGCTTACACTGCAATACAGCATGCACTAGCAGCACATCTCTATGCTGCTGATGTGTTGTGCCTTCAGGGGAGATTTTTGAGAGGTAGCGTCCATTCCCACCATGTAGTCACACTCAGTATGGTGAAACAGAATGTGTCAAAGTCAGGCTCAGCTATCAAACTCCAGATAATTGTGTGGCCTCATGGAGAGCCAGCGCATGGAGTTTAAACTTGCCTTCAGCTATAAGCACAGCACTGTCTAAACCAAAATGACAGAAAAGCAGAGAAAAAGAGTGCCTTAAGGGAATGATATAATCTTGGTCCCTTGTTGAAGTATTTGAGATATTTTTGTACCAGTGCAGGTGTTTTATAAAGCAGGATACAGCAGGACATTTGGTGAACAAAATTACCTCTGCTTTGACAATCAAGCATGTACTTTATTGTGGTGCAGAGGTCTGTATGGTGCGTTTCTGTAATGGATAACACAAAACGGACCATTTCAAGCTCACATTTGCCTCACATTTGAGTGGAAACCAATTCAAGTGACAATTGTATCAAAAGGTTTTTTTCCAACAGACTGACTGCTACCTAGATTGCAAATTGACACCTCTCCAGACAATCTGACAGAATCTAAAACCTTTAGATGTCCTTTAATCCAGTTCATCATTATCACCCTCTCCCCCGTCTTTTGCTCTCTTTCACTGTTTCTCATCTGTGCCCAGACCATGAAGTGACACCTGACCTGGTTGGTCCCTATGTGACTAATGACTAAGAAAACTGACAATTCCTACCACAAAGAAAGAGAAAGGGGTGACAGTAATTGAAATTTCTAGAACTGAACAGGATCAGCAAAACGGAGGAAAATGAATTAAACACAGCAATCCTTTCTATTTTTATCTGCATCCTCTGCAACCCGCTGTAACACTGTATTTACTGAAGAACCAAGTGTAACAGAAGCGGCAATGCATTGATATCCAGGTTTCTGCTCCACTGGTCAGTATACCTCCCAAACAACCAGGACACAACACTAAAATTATTTTGTGTGACACTACCTACACTGTTTATAGCTGGATATAACTGGACATCACGGCATTGCTTTAATTTGTTTTAGGCTTTCAAGGTTCAAGTTTGTATTACAGTTAATCGACTGTCTAGCAACGAATGAAAAATGTGTGCTTTGTTTTCTGAAAATTTCTGCAATTGCTAGACCATTTCAAATTAAATCTTTCCTGATGGGAAAGTATCCAGTGTCTTGTCATGGAGTAACTGCTTTAGTTTATAGTCCTGCCAGCATTTCGGATCCTGAGGGGCTCGCAGTAACATGCTGACACCATTTTATCCATTTAGTTGAAAATGAGAGGAGAGTGCCTTGCAGTTTTATGATCTTATCCCACTTGGCGAGATTTCTGTCGCTCGCGGTATGTCTAACGCCCAGGGCATGGAAAATAGAAAATATGCTCTGTGCTCTCCCCCTCTCTCTCTCTGTGTCTCTGTTTGTGTGTGTTACAGTTACAAACTCCTACACACCAAAATATTTGTCTGCACACTAAAATATTTGTGCGTGGGTTTTTTGTAACCCCTGAGTGCTTGCCCTTTGCTTAAAAAAAAACCCAAAGCGTCTGTACTGCTGTACCTGTCATCTCTAAGCCTCCCAGCTACATTGTTTACCTCTTCCTGGTAGCTCTCCCTCCTGGACTGAATGGTCTGCTATGTGCAGAGTGAGTCAGCAGATCAGAGGAGAAGGCAGGCTTCAGGTTGAGTGCTGGCTGTGTTTAGAGTCAGAGCTAAACCATGGCGCTATGATGAGTGAACTGTAAAGAGGAGATGACAGTCAGAGATGCATACCACCTACAGGAGCCAGACTACAGAATGTCTGCCGCAGACCAACAGACTGAAGCCTATTCCCCCCTCACGACTCCAGTGGTATTAAAAGCAGAAATATTTCTGGATAAGTCACGCCAAAAGGTAACCACATTCTTACCTATGTTAAATCTATCTACATATCCACAGAACAATCTCTACCTCTGGCATTACACTAACATTTACTTTAAATCTCCACTTAGAAGACATTGCTCTAACCCAATCAGCTGTCAGTGTTTTTGCAGGACTAAAATTAAAGTATAACAAGGACAAAAGTCATATAACTGAATAAACAATCATGTGAAAGAAGGATAAATAAAGTTCAAGACATGATTCCTGCCATGAAATTTTCATTATAGAAAACTGTTTACATACTGAAAATCACTACATGCAGATATTTAAAGCTTCAGTGTATAATATTTAGGAGGATCTATTGACAGAAATGTAATATGATATATATAACTATGTTTTCAGTGGTGTATAAAGACCTTACATAATGAACCGTTTTGTTTTTATTACCTTAGAATGAGCCATTTCTATCTACATACACCACGGGTCCTCTTACATGGACGTCGCCATGTTGCGCCGCCATGTTTCTACACTAGCCTAAACAGACAAACTGCTACAGAGCGGGTTTAATCACTACATTGAATTAAAACAAAAATCAAGCAGAAGTAGTAGTAGTCGTCTGGTTTATTAGTAGTAAGAAGAGAAGTGAAATTTAGACAAAAAAGTACCACAAGTATTATTTAGCACAAGAGCTGAAAGAATATGTTGGCGACTGTTACCAAATTCATATGGTGTCGGAATAATTTTTTCCCCCCTCAAATCTTCACTGCAAAAAGAGTAATAAAGTGTACATGGGACAGAAAGAAGTCCAAATACAGGGCACTCAAATTTTATTAAAAGTCTAGAATGAGATAACGTGTGTTATAGGAGGAGCCACTCAAATATTTGCAGCAGCAGCTCCTCGGCCCCAGCCAACTCTCTCAACCATTTAAATTTTACCAGTAGTTCTTAATTGACCTGAACAAATAGAAATTATAAAAATAGGTAAAATCTTATAAAAAGACTATTTAAATATATTTCAAAAATACAAATGTATCAAAAAGAGATATTTGACCCCAAACAAGCCCACTGAACAAGCAGTGCTCAATGTACATCGTACACATAGGACTAGGATGGCAGAACTTGTCCTACGCATGTATGCCAAGCTGTGTGTGAGAGTAGGCTACACGTTTCAGCTTATGAATGGTGTTCTGTGTTGTAATTGTTTGTTGCGCATTTTAATAGCTTGATGACTGTGGTAGGGGGCTCCCACTTAAAGCACTGTGGCTCCAGACCAGCCATTTTCATCATCATAGCTTTCCGTCCAGAGCCAAAATATAGAAGAACCATCTCTAGTCCTTGCCTTAGTTTCAGGTAGCCAAAGGTAAGCCCAGTGGAGGACAGTTACAAAGTAGTACTGTACTTAAGTACACGAGGTATTTGTAACTTCATGCCACTTTCTCTTCTACTCCACTACATCTCAAAGGGAAATATAGTACTTTTTACTTTATAAGACAGCTTCAGTTACTAGTTACTTTAAAAAATACTTACTTAACTTACTTACTTAACAGTTTATAAAATGCCAGCTAGTAGAACTACATCAGTTAGGCTAACTGACAGAAATGTAATTGGTAAGTGTTTTGGTATTAGTAATTTTTCATGTAAAACATTCCAAACGTTCCAGCTTCACAAACGTTTCATTATCTTAATGTATTCTTAATAATTTTGAGGTTTGGACTGACAAAACAAGCATTGTGAAGATGTCACTTAGATCTCCGGGTAACTGTGACAACATTTCTCATTATTTTTAGAATTTACTACAATCAGTTAATGGGGAAAATAATCCGCTGATTAATACATAATAAAAATTATTAATTAATAATTAATTGCAGTTTGATACAAAATAGTAGCACCTCAACCAACTACATTAATGCATGAGGAATAATAATCTAATGATAATATAATAGTATAACAGTCATATGGGACATTTTCTTTATGCTTTGAGTAGGCTATTATACTACTATATTACTAGTAGGCTTTTATTTTCAATAGGCTACTTCTACATTTTCATGTTTATAGCCTACTTACATACTTTTTAATTTTTCAATGCAGTACTTGCAGGTTATTTTTACAGTGAGGTATTAGTACTTAAATTCTTTATTTTAAAGCCCCCCTCCAGTGTATTTTGACATTTCTATGATATTTCATATTTTTCTGAGTCATTTTCTTACAATGTTGATTACCCACATAGTCCAAATATTTTTTGACAAATAGCTTAATTTTGTGCTCAAAGTTGCAAAAATTGCTTAGTTGCTAAAACGGGGTGGTGACGTATGACTATAGTAATTCCATAAGTCATACGTCATTCTCCAAGCTTGCGCAGGCGCGCTGTCATCCCTCGCGTCAAAGCGATAAACATTGTTGTGAGCTAGCTAACCAATTTAGCATATATTTTAATTAGAACTTATAGTAGGTATGTCTCTCTGTGTCTGATTGTTGGTTTGTCTTTCTAGTTTAGTTAGCTAAGTTAACTAAGTTGTAGTTAGCCAGGTGTAGTTAGCTAGCATAATTAGTGCAGAAAGTTAGCTAACAGAAGGTCTTCATTTTATTTTTTAGTTTGGTTTAGAGTGCTGTTCATTTTCATTATGGCATTTGTGCGTGCGTTGTTGGAGGACAGATGACAGAAAACGCGTCGCACTTTCACCTGCCACTGTCTTATATACAGTCTGACGGCTGTTTTACCAATGCATCAGCGGAGGCACCCCCCACACCCCCGCGGTAAAGTAAGCGCACCATAAAACGTAGTGGGAGTTATCGTGTGCAGTGCGTGACAGGACCATCGACTGTATGATTGATAACAGCTGATACGCGCACATTAGTTTCTATCATGGGTAAGTAATAGCTACTCCTGCCAGACAGTAAAGTGTAATAAACTTTACAGTGTAGTGATGTTAACGCAGCATATCGTTAGTGAACACTCCAGCCGGTCAGTTTTGGTTGTCATGGTAATGTATTACGTCTGACTATTAACCACACCTCCATTCTCTGTTTGAGAAAGAACGTTCACCAAAAACGGCAGTTAAAACTGGCAGGAGGGGGGCTTTAAAGGATCTTTACAGGCCTAAGTTACTTTGTTCACCACTGGCCAAACATGCCAAAACATGCCAGAGATTTTTGATTGCATCATCAATAATAATTTATCATGCATTTGGCTATACTCCCCAACACCAGCTGCTCTCACCATCTTTGAAAAACTACAGTTACCCTATTCATCGGGTCTCACGCTTCCAACATCCACTCCGTGTGTGCTTAGTAACGAACATGTTTGAATTTACCCGGAAACAACACATTTATTTTTGTGATCGGTTTAACGGCTCTGGCATTTAGTAGGCTACAGAGAAATCTATGAACACAAAAATTATCGTCCATTAATGTGAACTGGCTGAAATGCATCTATCTCACGGTGAATGCGTGAGGCCCGAGAGCCCTGCAAATATATAAGAAGACAAAAACAATAAAAACTTTGCAAGGGGTAGTCTATATTATATACAGATATTAAAGATGTCATATTATGCTTTTTAGCTTTTTCAATTTCCTTTATTGTGTTATATATCTTTTTTTGTGCATGTTATAGGTTTGCAAAGTGAAAAAGCCCAAAGTCCATTCCAAAGGGAGTACCCATCTCCGACAGAAAACGCCTGCTCTGAATTGCCTGAAAACAGCTTGATTGTAGTCCAGACTTTTTTTTTGTTACCATGTTACATCACATGGTAACATATGAGGTGCCCCTAAGGACACTATACAGAATTACCATGCATATACATGTACTTTTCCTCTCACATACACATATGAAACCAAACTCATTCACATACTATACTGAAAAGCTCACACACCTACAAGTAAAATGCTTTTGCTATACTGAAACGCTCTCACACACACACACACACAACTGAAACACTCTCACATACACACAACTGAAACGCTCTCACACACTCAAGTAAAATGTATGTTGTATAAAAGCATTTCAGTACGTTGTATGAGAGGATTTCAGTTGAACAGGAAGGCATTTCAGTTGAACAGGAAGGCATTTCAGTTGAACAGGAAGTTGTTTAAATAAAAGCACACATCTCACAATACAAGCGAACAACTGTTGATCGTACAACGGCATTATGTTTTATTGCTTCTGACAAGCATCGGCGCATAGTTTGATTTCTTCCAAAGTATATGTTCAATTTTAAACTAATCAGATGGGTCGGCTTTAGCCCACTGCTAGTTATCAAATGCCAGCACACCAGCGCTGGGAGGCGCCATAGGGAGGCGCACTCTGACCAGACAGACTTCTGGCAGAGCTAGAGAAGGAGAAATTCTTTAAGAGACAAATGTGACATTCACTAAGAAGTTGCATAAAAAAAGAATTATCTGTACACTGAATAATTTTGAAGCTCTATAGATGGTGTCATTTATTGTGACCCTTGAGTAGGTCTCGTGGATATTACATGTTTATTGGCTTACTGTATAGTGCGTAGTGAGGCAAAAGGGTGAAAAACATTAACTGATAGAAAGCACATATTTGCTACAAGTGCATTCGAGTGGGGTTCATAATTTTTCTCAGTCAGCAGGTCATTCTTTGTTTAAGCACTTTACCCAGTTTTGTTTGGATTTGTGCTCATTCTCTTGTCTTTAAACTAGACTTACTGTACATGAGAGCAGCAAACAAGGCACTCTTCAAAATCTTCTCTGGCTCTAGTTGCTGAGTGTAAGGTTCCTATGTTATCTTCAAGTATAAGGTACAATGTTAAAAAACTGCATAACTATTTCGTCTTCTGACCTTTTCTGACCAAGGTCAGAAGACGAAACAGTATTTTCACTTTCAACTTATACTAGACTGCTCTCCCTTAGCAAAAGAGTTAAGCTTTAATATTCAATGCTTTATCTGTGTTGCATGATGAGCTGGTTCTTTCAATTGACAATCAGAATGTAAAATGAACATTTTCAGTCAGTAGTAAAGACAAAATTAGTCTAAAGTATAAATATATTTAGAATTTATTGTAAAGGCA